TTATTAATTTTAGTAGCCATAATTAATACTTTTCATAATGAGTTTACTATTAACTTCAGTATAGACTGTCTCCAAGAAACAGAGACTTTCTGATCTTCTTTGACTGTAAAATAAAATATGAACACAAAGAATCAAAGTAAAAATTGGAGCTGTTAGAATTCCTTTGAAGGATGTAAAAAGACTCAATTTTTGTTCCCATAACGATGAAGTGAAATCCGGGGTTATCCACTGTGGGAGTTGCAGGGTTTTAGGGTGAGGCTCTGAGAAAGCTGCTCTTTGAATGTGTGTGTGCTTTTGATCCTTTCTGGGGGGTAGAAAAAGGAAGAAGAGAAAGAAAAAAGTGCCCTGTGCTGAATAGGACTCCATCTCCAGGAACAACCAGAACTGCCCCGCATTCAATCCACTACATTAAAGATATAAACAGCCCACGCCTGGTAGTTTGGCAGTTGTTGAATGACAGTCATGTGTAAAATGTACCAGCTATTCTGTTCTCACAACATTCTTGGAAAATGCATGCAGCACAGCAGTCAGCATGTTGGATAGGACCATTTTGAGTTTCTCTAACAAGTGAAACAATCTGAACCTAAGGTATGTCCTGGCAACAGTTCTCTGCGTTGATATGCTTTCTAGAGAACAGTCACATGACAGATTTTTTGGCATTATTGAAGCTATATTTTTAGCAAGTTCTTGAACTTTAGCTTATTTAGATACTCTGTTCTTAATATTTATAGTGAAATATATAACCAGACTACCTACAATCCCAGGTTCCTTCCAGTCTCTAAATGTTTGAAGCAAATTTACTTTTAGAAAATCTGTATTGTAATGCTCTCTCTCTGTCTCTCTGTCTCTCTCTCTCTCTCTCTCTATATATATATATATATATATAATTCAAAAATGATAATTCAGAGGGAAATTTACTCAATATAAGCTTAAAAATCTAGAAGGCTACAATCATCTAAATTGCTATATACCTGAATAGGCAATTTTTATAATAATAATAAAAACATCGCAAAGAAAACATTCTCAGTCCTTGTTATATGGAAACATGAGCATCAAGGAAGATTAGTCCCCTCAGTTCTCAGAGGACTAACCTTCCATGTGAATCAGCCCTCTTCTTCAAATATGTAGATATAGCCTTTCCTTTCCACATTGGAAGGGAAAACTGTAACTATGTTGTAGATTATGATAAACACCTTTTTTTTTTTTTTTTTTTTTTTTCTTTTTTTAAAGGCATGTTTTTTTTTTTTTTTAAAAAAAAAAAAAAAAAAAAAAAAATCCAAATTAAGGAAAATAAATAAAAGA